ATTTAATAAATATATTAAAATAATATAATAAATATATAATAATTTTATTTGTTTTATAATTCTATATCTATACTTAGGGGAGAGAATTAATAATTATTTTCTACTCATGATAATCTCTCTAACAAGTTGTCAAAGTTTTTACACTTGTTATAAAATATTCTGCATTGTTGCAATTATATATATTGCGCAATAAATTAGTAAGTTTTGAAAGTTACCTGATGCTTCTCCAAAAGTGGTACGAATTTCTCCGGATCTTTCGTCACGCTTTTCGGTACAATCACCAATGTACGGCCCTGTAGAAGAGGCCCCCAAATCTCTGGGACACTGTCGACGAATGTGAGAGCAGTTTTAAAGACGCATCGTTCTTCGTTATCGACGTACGGAAGTTCTCTCCATTGCCATTGTAGACGATTCAATAGAGTAACATGCGGTATAAGCACACCTTTAAAAAGATTATTATATACGTTATTACGTTCAACTGAAACGTGGACTTAGGTCGTTGTTCCATAAAAGTGTCAGTCGAAGTTTCAGGTGAACGTACTCAATATATCACACATATACAATCAAATTTTATTTTGCAAATTTATTTCAAACATGAGTTATAAAAGTGCAACGACTTCTTGACGTCATGCTTGTGTATGTAATTTTTTTTTTGCAACTGAATTAGAGAGCTGACTTTTGCAACAGAGATAATGGTTCAATAATGTTTTTTTTATTTGTTATTTGTCATAATACTGTGAAATTATACCATGTGATATTTGCAGTATTTTAAGAACACTTTTGAATCAGTTTGCGGTGGGAAAACAATCATGTAAATACGTAGTCTTGTATCTTGTGAGAGATAATTATAGTACTGCTAATATGTAAATTTTTTTTTACAACGCGTACCGTATACGTAATTAATATGAATGTGATGTTACCTTTTGGAACTCCTGTACTGCCGGAAGTATAAAGAACGATGGCAAGTTGATTCGAGCACTTTTTGGTTTTTAATGTATCTTCTTCTTCTTCCGCAGCTTTTTTTAGAAGCTGTTCATATGTCACGGTTGAGGCTCCCTCATAAATTGACAAATCCGCTAAAAGGGATATCATATCATATTTTCTTTACTTAACTGTATCCAATGAATAAATTGATCTCATGCGGAAAATATTGATTATCTCGAATTATATCAAATTGTAATAAAACGCAAAAATTCAAGATATTCTCGTGCACAGTTATGTTGATTAAATAATAAAATATATATATTCATATTTTCTGCAAGTTATATACAGGGTGTCCCCAATTTAAATGTCAAAACTTTAGGAGCGTGTAGGGGACCGATAAACTAAGACAAAAAATCCTTTAGAGATTTGCTCGTTTTTGCTTCGTTTTGAAGAAAAACGCAAAAAATGAAACAAATAATTTTCACCAAAAAACTTAAAACAACACTAAAATTATTAGATTTATCAAAAAGTATTATAAACCCTACACGCTCCTAAAGTTTTGACATTTAAATTGGGGACACCTTGTATACTTTGAAAGGATTCATTTGCTTTCAAAATAGTCCCATGTAACTACATGATTTTGTGCAAAAAATTGCGTAACATAATTACAAGGAAAAAACTATGCTATGTAAATTGCTATATAAATATCTCACATTTATTACGCACGCTCAATTTACCCGCGAACGGATACTATCAACTTTAATTAACGCTAATCCTAATGATCCGTTACCATATTGCAATGTTAAAATATCTTTAAATATAAACGGGATTATATGAGATATATTTTAGTAATTCGTACAAATCGACGATAATGGAATAATTTATTGACAATAATGCAAAATTAATATACATTAATATTAAATAAAGTCAAAATAATAACATTCTAATGTTTTCGGAATTACATTTATATTAAAGAAATAAAACTTAAATTATCAATTAATAATTAAATTATCAATAATAATTATTATTTTTTAATCTCAGTATTTAAAGATATTTTACTATTAAATTAAATAAAAAATATATTATTTTTTAAAATTTATATTATGGATTAAATATAATCTATGAGAAAAAAAAAAGAAAATTGCTTACTTAATTGTTATAGGACTTTAGAATTAGTCATTTAAGATTAATAAATTATTCTCACTAAAATGTAGTCTTACAAATTAGTTTTATCAATATTGATAAGTTTTGTTTAATTTTTTGTGACTTTAGAAAAATCTAGGTTTGAAATTACATAGAAAGAAATCAAATCCGAATTAAAAATAGAACAAGAGATGGATAAATAATCCGAAAGTAGAATTAGAATTACCACTGTTGATAAAATCAAACTTGAAAGTCAAATAATAATTAAAAATGATTAGTAATATTTATTTAGGCCTTTCAGGAAATGTGAAAAAGCGATGTTTACCTCCTTCTTCGATCAAAACTATCAACGGTTGTGCTTCTTCGAGAATGTGCTTTGTCCTGGACATTGGAACTTCCGTGTTCAAAGGTAGATAGGCCATTCCTGC